GGCGCGCCAGCTGGATTGCGCAGTTCAAAAGGAGCGGCGTCGGCGGAGCGAGCGAAGCGAGCGGAGCCGGCGCCGCAAACGCACAATCAAACGCCCGCGCGGCGTTTCACCCCAAACTCCTTCCCCCAACGTAAAGCTTCAACCCTAAACCCTGGATTGCGCATATCTTGATCCAAGAAGGTATCTGTGCACGTGTGATACACAAAGCACTGCATGTCGCACGCATGAGAAAGATCGCCAAACCGACTGGAATCGTGGAACCCTAAGAGAAAGATAACCTCGACTACCGAATGAACCCTAAACCCTAATAGAGAAAACCGTGGGTGGTTCGCCGCCCTAACGGGCGCGGGGTGGGAATGTGAAAAAGGGAGCTGGCCCCGTAGCCGAAACATGATTCCGCTCAACATGATATCACCGCAACATGACTACCCCACCCCCGCTCCATTTTATGGGTGGGGGTGGTCTTACACGAATGATGATCAGCAAGCACTGGCAGAGGACACCCTAAACCCTAAATTTCTAATCCTATAATTTTTAAACCCTGATTGCTGCAAAACCGGTCGTTATGCAAACCCGGCTCATCTACTGTAAAAAATGGCATTTGCTGAGCATGCGTACAGAATCTCTTGTATTTTACACTACAAAGTGCCCGGCCCCCGTTGCGATCCGGCCCCCATCTATGGCAAAACATAGCATTTCCTGAGCATGCGTGCAGAATCTCCTGTATTTTACATTACACTAAATGCCCGGCCCCCGTTGCGAGCCGCTTATGTAAACCTTGTCCATCTACGGCAAAAAACAATATTTGCTGAGCATGCGTGCAGAATCTTTTGTACTTTACATTACAAAGTCCCCTGCCCTTGTTGCGTTCCGCGTTCATCTATTGCAAAAAATAGCATTTGCTGAACATGCGTGCAGAATCTCTTGTATTTTACACTACAAAGTGCCCGGCCCCCGTTGCGAACAGATTTTTCTTTTCAACAAATAGCCTTTCCTGCGCATGCGTGCAGAATCTCTTCCGCCCGACCCGACTCTTCCCGCTCGTTACAGCACTCGCGTGCCAACTCGATCGCACATCCGTCGTCGCCGTCGTCGTCGTCGTCGTCGACGCTGTATTCGATGCGGTTCTAACGAGGGGAGAGATGATCTTTATGGTGGGGTGGCGTGCGGGTGGGAACGACGGCCACCGCAGGTGGGTTCGCGGTCACGTTGTACTCGTGGCCACGCCCAGTGGACCCTAAACCCTAAACCCTAAACCCTGAACCCTAAACCCTAAACGTGCGGGAACCGATTGGGCCCGCGACAAGGACCGCGAACGCTAATACGCACTGTAAACCGCGGGGCCGTCTCTGCCAAACATAGAGCCAATGCCACAGCATGGTTGGGGGCAGACGTGCGGGGGGCAGGGGTCGGGGTGGGGGGCGGGGGGGGGGGGGAGGGAACGATGGGGAAATGCGTGGCGATGTCTTTTTCAAAGCAAGGACACAATGCCACAGGATGGTTGGGAATCCACAGTTCTGCAGATGCGTAATGGCAGCTACCCTACCGAAGAACCCGACATACTTATATTATGTCTGGAGTGATGATAGCTGAAGTGAAGCACGTGAGAATCATGTTGGTGGCCGCGGCCCCGCCGATACCGTTGGCGACGCCAGTCAAAAGGAGAGGTGGGAGGAGAGTGGAGAAGAGATAATCTAAGTTTTTGTTCAATACACATGTAAAGCGATCTGCGGCGCCCACAAGGCAACGAACACTATGGAACGCGATCTTCGGCGGAAAGCATCTGATCAGATTTGAGAGAAAGAAACATGCGAAGGAACGCAACCTTCGGCGAAAACCCACTGGCAACGTCTAAGAGATAATAAAAAACGGAACGCTGTCTTCGGCAGAAAGCTTTTGACCGCGCCTCAAACCAATGCAACGCATGACAAATCGCCTGGACAGGCCGTTGCGATAGCCGTAAAACGCAACCATAGCTCCATGAACACATCGGTGGCCCCGTGTCGCATAGCGCAGCCTCGCTCAAGGATAGCGGCCGCGCTCAAAGACCACCCCCGTCGCACTTCGCGTGGTGTCGAGAAAATGCCACGCCTGCTATGCCCTGGACGACTGGCTCGGATAACGGCCGCGCGCAAAGACCACCCCCTGCGCACCCCCTATGGTGTCGAAAAAATGCTACGCCTGCTACGCCCTGGACGACCGGCTCGGATAACGGCCGCGCTCAGCACCTGCGGACCCCGTAAGGTTACGAAAATATGTCACGCCTGCTATGCCCTGGACGACCTGGCTCGGATAGCTGCCGCGCTCAGAGACCACCCTCTGCGCACCCCGTATGGTGTGGATGAATGCCACGCCTGCTACGCCCTGGACGACTGGCTCGGATAGCGGCCGCGGTCACAAACCACCCCGTGCGCACCCCCTATGGCGTCGAGAATATGTCACGCATGCAATGCCCTGGACGACCGGCTCGGATAGCGGCCGCGCTCAGAGACCACCCCCTGCGCACCCCGTATGGTACGACTGGCTGGGATAGTGGCCGTTCTCAGAGACCACGCCCTGCGCACCCCTTATGGCGTCGAGAATATGTCACGCCTGCTATGCCCTGGACGACCGGCTCGGATAGCGGCCGCGCTCAGAGACCCTCCCTGCACACCCCGTATGGTGTGGATGAAGTGCCACGCCTGCTACGCCCTGGACGACTGGCTCGGATAGCTGCCGCGGTCAGAGACCACCCCCTGCGCACCCCCTATGGTGTCGAGAAAGTACCACGCCTGCTATGCCCAGGGCAACCGTCACGGCTAGCGGCCGCGCTCAGGGACCACCCCGCACCACCTGTGGTGTCGAGAAAACGCCACGCCTGCTGTGCCCTGGACGACCGGCTCGGATAGCGGCCGCGCTCAGGGACCACCCCGTGCGCATCCCCTGTGGTGTCGAGAAAACGCCACGCCTGCTGTGCCCTGGACGACTGGCTCGGATAGCGGCCGCGCTCAGGGACCACCCCGTGCGCACCCCTTGTGGTATCGAGAAAATGCCACGCCTGCTGTGCCCTGGACGACTGTCACGGATAGCGGCCGCGCTCAGGGACCACCCCGTGCGCACCCCTCGTGGTGTCGAGAAAGTGCCACGGCTGCTGTGCCCTGGACGACTGTCACAGATAGCGGCCGCGCTCAGGGACCACCCCGTGCGCACCCCCTATAATGTCGAGGGAACGCCGCGGCTGCTGTGCCCTGGACGACCGTCACGCATAGCGGCCGCCCTCAGGGACCACCCCGTGTGCACCCCGTGTGGTGTAGAGAATACGCTCCGCCTGCTATGCCCTGGACGACCGTCACGCATAGCGGCCGCCCTCAGGGACCGCCCCCTGCGCACCTCCTGTTGGCGCGCATGTGTTGCGTGGTGTGCGTGTCATGTGTTCGTGTGGTTGCGTGCTTGTGTGTGTGTGCTGTGCTGTGCAGTGCTGTGCTGAGCTGTGCTGAGCTGTGCTGAGCTGAGCTGTGCTGAGCTTGTCTGGTCTGTGCTGTGCTGAGCTGTACTGAGGTGCTGTGCAGTGATGTGCCGAGCTGTGCTGTGCTGAGATGAGCTGTGCTGTGCTGAGCTGAGCTGAGCTGTGCTGTGTACGTGCTGTGTCAATATGCTGTGTGCTGTGCTGTGCTGTGCTGTGCTGAGCTGTGCTGTGCCGTGCTGCGCTGCGCTGTGCTGTGCTGTGTGAGAAGGAGACGGAGGAGGAGGGGTGAGGAGGAGACGCGGCTGCGACGCAGGAAGGAAGAAAACCACAACCCCACTAAGCATGTGGGGAATAACAATCAACCAAACGCGTTGTATACTACGAAAAGGTAGTTGTCATAGCTGCTTATATGGTGACCTTAGCTGATGTGTTTGACCCTGGTGCCCCTCCAGGAACGCCATCCACACACACGCCACAAGGTGCTTTATATTGCTCAGCACCTGCGCTGAGGAACTTCACTACCCCATGCCCTGGCGTGAACGAGCGTCAGTAATTCTCTGGACTGTCCGATAATTGGGAGGAGACCGACTATCGACGTTCTCCCAACCGATCCCTGCATTCATTTTCATGGAAGCAGAGGTGGTCGATATGCGATGCAGCTGACAAGAGTATGACAGCGAGTGGTCAGACAACATTCTGAAACAAACATACAGCACATCTGGCAATTCTCACGAGGCTGCTCTTGGACGCTCCTGGATGTCCTGGATGCCAATCTCCCCTCATCAACAGTCAAGGCGTACTTCTTGAGGTGATTTTATTTCGATTGGCGGTGCACTTTAGTTTCGCAAGGCGCTGCCCTCCGCTGCTATCAGCGCGCCGAGGTCATGAGGCTCAACCGACACTATCCCCCGTGCAATGAAAGGACATCGGCTCATGATCTCGCGCTGCTCTGAATCATGCAGTGGGGCTCCCCAGCACACTGGCGCTGGTGTGCCAGGGCACGACGCTGAAGGACGCAGCTCAAGAGCAAATTGGACGGGCCCAGTTTACAGTCCGAGGCGTGCCTGGATGGTCTTCACCGCAACTCTTGCGATCGATTTTACTCCAGCGCGCCGAAGCGATCCCCGGCGACCGGAAGGTCCGACCAGATGCTGCCCCGCAGGGTGAAAAAACGATCCGCCACCCCCGCAAATGCCTGGAGCTGCTCGGTTTCTGGAGCGGCGGCCGCCAAGAAATTTACGGATCGCCAGGTCATGCCGGATAGATCTGGCTCCGAAGGCCGAGCACGCTGCGGGCTGCAGACCAAGCTCGTCCTGTCCCCCAGACATCCGGTGCTGTTCTTTCTCTGTCCATCAGCGGCCCCAGCAAGGTCCCGACCCCTTTCCTGGGAGTATTTTCCATTCCACATGTAAGTTTTAAGGTCCCGGGGCACGAAAAGGGCCCCCAGACGCCGAAATTAAGGAACGGCGCAGCTATTGAAACACAGAAAAGCGCCGCGATTGCACAAAAATCACATCGTCGGATGTATGGGATCACGTCAGGATGCGCAGCCCCTTCAGGCCGCGGCCGCGGTGGTGCTCCCTCTTCGCCTCTTGCCGCGGACAGGGGCGGTGCCCGGCGCCCTCTCGGCGTCCTGCTGCTGCTGCTGCTGCCTCTGGAGGCTGTTCCGCAAGTGCTGCTCCAGGGCTCCGAGGGGATCCTTCTGGAACGCTTCGCACCCGAGGACACCCTGGTACTGGGCCATCTCCCTTTCTCCTGCCGCATCGAGAGCGAAAACTTCGGATGCGGAGAGGGGCAGGAGGAGTGATGCGGAGAAGAGGAGCACAAAAATGCGCAGGAGCAGGAGCAGGGTGAGGATGGGGGAGGAATCAGAGGGGATGAGGAATCAGAGGGTGTGGCACTGGGGCGAGAACCAATCTTTGAAAACAATCCGCCCTCGATACGTGAAGCTGTTGAGGGAATTGAAGACGAATGCGTGCGGCGCTGAGACGACAGCCATCAGACAAACCCTATTGGAAGGCAATGAATTTGGCCTCCGTGTCGGCCCTGAACACGCTGGGCTGGGGCTCTTCGAAATCAGCCAAGGGCTCTCCATCGCTCCGCCACGCCGAAGCGTTCCGTCGACGGGGCATGCCATCGGCCTCTGCGGGCGCGCCACCTTCGAGAAATCGTTGCACAACTCCCTGAGCCACCTTTGGGTTTAAAAAGGCTTGGGGGAGGGAGGATGAGGAGGAGGAGGAGGAGGAGGAGGAGGAGGAAGAGGAGGAAAATGAGGAACACCAGGAGGAATTATCCTGGCGAATGACCCAACAATAAACAATTGTTCGTAGCGCGTTGTGGGTGCCGCTTTCGGTGGGGCTCCCTATGGGGCCACGAAGCGCTGCCTTGGGTGGGGGAACCGCATGCGAACTGCGCCACTGGTGCGGGCCTTCGGTGGAGCTCCATATGGGACCACGAAGCGCTGCCCTGGGCGGGGGAACCGCATGCGAGCTGCGCCACTGGGGCCTTCGGTGGAGCTCCCTATGGGGCCACGAAGCGCTGCCGTGGGCGGGGGAACCGCATGCGAACTGCGCCACTGGGGCCTTCGGTGGAACTCCCTATGGGACCACGAAGCGCTGCCCTGGGCGGGGGAACCGCATGCGAACTGCGCCACTGGGGCCTTCGGTGGAACTCCCTATGGGGCCACGAAGCGCTGCCCTGGGTACAGGAACCGCATGCGAACTGCGCCACGGGGGCCTTCGGTGGAGCTCCCTATGGGGCCACGAAGCGCTGCCCTGGGCGGGGGAGCCGCATGCGAACTGCGCCACTGGGGCCTTTGGTGGAACTCCCTATGGGGCCACGAAGCGCTGCCGTGGGTGATGGAACCGCATGCGAGAGCAGCCGCTGGGGCCTTCGGTGGAACTCCCTATGGGGCCACGAAGCGCTTCCCTGGGTGAAGGAACCGCATGCGAGAGCAGCAACTGGGGCCTTCGGTGGAGCTTGCTATGGGGCCACGAAACGCTGTCCTGGGCGGGGAAACCGCATGCGACAGCAACCACGGTGGCCTTCGGTGGAGCTCCATATGGGGCCACGAAGCGCTGCCCTGGGTGGGGGAACCGCATGCGAGAGCAGCCACTGGGGCCTTCGGTGGAGCTCCCTATGGGGCCACGAAGCGCTGCCCTGGGTGAAGGAACCGCATGCGAACTGCGCCACGGTGGCCTTCGGTGGAGCTCCATATGGGGCCACGAAGCGCTGCCCTGGGTGGGGGAACCGCATGCGAGAGCAGCCACTGGGGCTTTCGGTGGAGCTCCCCATGGGGCCACGAAGCGCTGCCCTGGGTGGGGGAAGCGCGTGCGAACTGCGCCACTGGGGCCTCCGGTGGAACTCCCTATGGGGCCACGAAGCGCCGCCCTGGGCACGGGAACCGCATGCGAACTGCGCCACGGGGGCCTTCGGTGGAGCTCCCTATGGGGCCACGAAACGCTGCCGTGGGCGGGGGGGCCGCATGCGAACTGCGCCACTGGGGCCTTTGGTGGAACTCCCTATGGGGCCACGAAGCGCTGCCGTGGGTGATGGAGCCGCATGCGAGAGCAGCCGCTGGGGCCTTCGGTGGAACTCCCTATGGGGCCACGAAGCGCTGCCCTGGGTGAAGGAACCGCATGCGAGAGCAGCAACTGGGGCCTTCGGTGGGGCTCGCTATGGGGCCACGAAGCGCTGTCCTGGGCGGGGAAACCGCATGCGACAGCAGCCACGGTGGCCTTCGGTGGAGCTCCATATGGGGCCACGAGGCGCTGCCCTGGGTGGGGGAACCGCATGCGAGAGCAGCCACTGGGGCCTTCGGTGGAGCTCCCTATGGGGCCACGAAGCGCTGCCCTGGGTGGGGGAACCGCGTGCGAACTGCGCCGCGGTGGCCTTCGGTGGAGCTCCATATGGGGCCACGAAGCGCTGCCCTGGGCGGGGGAACTGCATCCGAGAGCAGCCGCTGGGGCCTTCGGTGGAGCTCCCTATGGGGCCTCGAAACGGTGCCCTGGATGGGGGGACGCATGCGGGCATCCTCACTGGGATCGAGTGGAGCTCCTCATGGGGCCACGAAGCGCTGTCCTGGGCGTGGGGGGCGCATGCGGGCACCCCCACTGGGGCCTTCGGTGGAGCTCCCTATGGGGCTACGAAGCGCTGTCCTGGGCGTGGGGGGCGCATGCAGGCACCTCCACTGGGGCCTTCGGTGGAGTTCCCTATGGGGCTACGAAGCGCTGTCCTGGGCGTGGGGTGCGCATGCGGGCACCCCCGCTGGGGCCTTCGGTGGAACTCCCTGTGGGGCCACGAAACGCTGTCCCGGGCGTGGGGGGCGCATGCGGGCACCCCCGCTGGGGCCTTCGGTGGAGCTCCGTATGGGGCCACGCAGCGCTGTCCTGGGCGTGGGGGAACCGCATGCGAGCGCCCCCGCTGGGGCCTTCGGTGGAACTCCCTATGGGGCCACGAAGCGCTGTCCTGGGCGTGGGGGGCGCATGCGGGCGCCCCCACTGGGGCCTTCGGTGGAGCTCCCTATGGGGCCACGAAGCGCTGTGCTGGGCGTGGGGGGCGCATGCGGGCACCTCCGCTGGGGCCTTCGGTGGAGCTCCCTATGAGGCTACGAAGCGCGCGAAGGGTGTGCCGAGAGCAGAGGCAATGATGGGGGAGGAGGGAGGAGGGGGAGGGGGAAGCGGGAGGAGGAAGGAACGCGGGGCGCTGTCTGTTCAAAGCAAGGTTCCAACACCACGGATGGTTGGGAAAAATCATGAGTAAAGAGGAGGAGGAGGAGGAGGAGGAGGAGGAGGAGGAGGGGGAGGAGGAGGAAGAGGAGGACGAAGGCGAGGAGGAACAGGACGAGGGACAGGAGGCACGACCAGATCGAAACGAGTGCGCAGAGCGAGCGAAAAGAAACGAAAAAGAGAAGGAGAGAGGCCGAGGGCGCGCAACTCGACGATTAAAGAAAGGAAGACAGCCCGAGACGCCGCCTCAGACTACCGCAGACGAAGCCAGAAACAGGCATCGTCTGTGGGGAAGAGAGGGCGGGGCTCGCCCCGCCACTCGCCCGAGCGGGGGTCTTTACCTGCTACCAGGGCCTTTAAATAAGTGGCGTCTTTGCTGGATGCAATTCCCTCACACTGGCCCCACAAACGAGAACGAGGGGCCGACGGCTGGGCCCTGGCGCCGCAGCGGTGGCAGAATGCAAGGGTCTCACCAGCAAGACTAATTTGATGCCCTCTAGCACTACTGGGCCCAACAGGGCCTTGAGCGGGGAGAGGGACCTCAGGGCGGGTGGCATCACGCGCAACCCAGGAAGGCCCACCAGGACCTCCAGAGGTCCGAGGGCGCTTGCAGGGCGGGGGCCCCGCAAGCTCGCCAGGGCCCGCAGGCCCACCGACGCACGACGCGGAGGGCGCAGCCCCCGTCCGAGGCGCCTTCGGACTCGGCCCCACCAGGGGCCCACCAACCCTGCGGTCCCTCGCCGTCCTGGCAGGAGCGGGGGGTGGTGGTGGTGGTGGGGGGGGGGGCTCTCGCGGGCCCAGGGAGCGTGCCTCTTTGGCGCGCCGACACGCTTCCCCCAACTCAGCATCCAGCTGATCCTCTCCCACACCATCCACCCGAAACCTCACCCGCTTAAAGGCCAAGGACCGCTCAAGACCCTCAGTCGCGAGGGGCGGCGACCTCTCTGGCCCACTTGGGGCTTCAACAACCCGAAGCTCCAAGGATGGGGCTAGCCTCAGAAGGGCCCGAGACGCTCCCGCTCGGCCCGCCAGGGCCCATTGGCCCAGCAGGGGCCGCAGTCGAGGAAGGCTCAAGCGAAACACCCTCCAGGCCCCAGAGGGCCGCCGCCCCCGCAACCCTACAACGACCCCTTCTAAGCCTCGCGGCACCTTTAGGAGTCACCGCGTAAGCGGAGCAACGATCACAACTATATTTCCTGCCCCTCAGCCGCACACGATGCAGGAGCTGAGGGGGGCAGGCCTGTACGCCTGTGGGCGATCCCGCACCGCCGCGCTCAATCACAGCGCCGCTGCCGCCAGCGCCTGCCGCCACCAACTGCGCCCAGCGGGCGCGCAGCGCCGTGTCCCGCCGCCGTGGGACGTCCACGCGGTCGGGGGCCACGGTGCCGTCGAATACCATCCTGGAGGCGTTTGCAATCCAGGTCGCGACCGATCTGACCGTATTCAGCGAGTCGGCGTAGCTCTCGACAAGGCCCTGAGGTAGGTCGTGCAGCTGTCGACCCCGCTTTGCCGCTTGATCTGCCAGATCATTGCAGCGGCGATGCCGCGAGTCCTCACTGGAATGGCCTTTGACGTATGAGAACCGAATCGGACACTCCAGGTCCCCAGCAATGGGAAAACCCACGTGATCCTCCAGCTGGTGGAAAAGGCGACGCCAAAGATCCACGTTCTCACGCCTCGGATTGAGGCACCAGCGCTTGCCACGCGCCAGCCCTTCTAGCAGCGGCATGTAATCCGTGAAGATATGGGGCGGAGCCACGCCGACGGACAGCACCTGAATCACGGCAAACAGCTCGCCCCGAGCGGATGTCTGGCGATGGCCAGGCAACGGCCCAAACGCAGCTCCGTAGTAACGAGCATCGGTCCCAGTGAAGCAACTTCCTGCACGAACCGTCAGTGAACACCGAGCCCGTGACGACACAATGTCCTTCAGCCCGGGCTCCACGATCGCAGCACCAGGCACCAGAATCGTTCCTAGAAGGCAAGGCAGGCAGGAAGGAGTTGGGGTACAGCCCACGAGAGTAGAGC